GGGTGATCAGGCTGGCAGGAATGCAAGCGGTTGGGAGCCAGCAGTCCCGGATTGAGAGAGGGATGTCAGACATCCTCCGAGGGGTCCCAGATTGGAGAGGGTGCAGGCTGGGCTGAGGGACACCCCCCCCCCCCCAGTGCACGAATTTCATGTACCAGGCCTCTAGTAATAATAATAAAAATTTTAAAAAGCAAAAAAGTGACAGTCTAATTTATCAAGGCCAAGCAAGGTAGTGACTTAGCAACAATACTAAGATATATTTCAAAACTTCAAAACTTCTTGGTAATTGAATATAACATATTTGGGAGCTTGCAAGGTTGTATTCAAGTGTCCTGAGGCCTAGTTCTCATTTTCCTTTATCCTCCTTAGAGAACCAATGTCAATAACTTTTGGAGGCAGGAATAGGCCTAATGTCAATGTATGTTTTCTTATGGACCCCATCAGAATTAGTTTGGGGATTCTGAAAAAAAAAAAACTTCTTTCCTTGATATTAAGTCCACAAATTGCCTTGTAATTATTATTTCTGTTTTTTTTAAAGGGTTCCATATTTTGCTTGACATAAAGTTCCTCATTAGTGTAATAAAATAAACTTTCTTTCTGGGGAATATAATACTTTATTCACTAACACGGGGTAAGGATTTGTATTGGTTTTTAGAAAGAGTGGAAGGGAGGGGGGTGGGGAGAGAGAAAGAATAAAACATTGACATGAGAGAGATACATTAGTTGGTTGCCTTCGGCCTGCACCGCTACTGCAGCTGGGGAACCTGCAACCAAGGTACATGGCCTTGACCAGGAATCAAACCTGGCAACCTTTTAGACCACAGGCCAACGCTCCAACCACAGAACCTAACCAGCCAGGGTTAAAATAAACTTTCTTAATTGCTTTGTGCCTCAATTTTCTAATTTGTACAATGGGGATAATAATTGTACCTAACTCATAGGAGTATTATGAGAATTCAGTGAATTAATATATATATATATTTAAATATATTTTTATTGATTTCAGAGAGGGAGGGAGAAGGAGAGATAGAAACATCAATGATGAGAGAGAATCATCTATCAGCTGTCTCCTGCATGCCTGCAACCCAGGCATGTGCCCATGGGAATCGAAACATGACCTCCTGGTTCATAGGTAGATGCTCAACCACTGAGTCACACAGGCCAAGTTGAATTAATATATATTTTTAAATTTTATTTTATTGTTTAAAGTAATACAAATAGTAGTACATATGTCTCCTTTTTTTCCATTTACCTTCCCCCGGCCTCCCCTACCCCACCGGCACATGCCCTCACCCCACCGCCCAGTGTCTTGTGTCCAATGGTTATGCTTATATGCATACATACAAGTCCTTCAGTTGATCTCTTATGCCCCCCCCCACTCCCCAGCCTTCCCGCTGTAGTTTGACAGTCTGTTCGATGCTTCTCTGCCTCTATCTATCTTTTTGTTCATCAAGTTATAATGTTCTTTATTATCCATAAATGAGTGAGATTCTGTGGTATTTTTCTTTCACTGCCTGGCTTATTTCACTTAGCATAATGCTCTCCAGTTCCACCCATGCTGCTGCAAATGGTAAGAATTCCTTCTTTTTTAAAGCAGCGTAGTATTCCATAGCATAGATGTACGACAGTTTTTTAATCCACTCATCTGCTGATGGGCATTTAGGCTGTTTCCAAATCTTAGCTATTGTAAATTGTGCTGCTATGAACATAGAGGTGCACATATCCTTTCTGATTGGTGTTTCTGTTTTCTTGGGATATATTCCTAGAAGTGGTATTACTGGGTCATATGGTAGTTCCATTTTTAAATTTTTGAGGGAATGCCATACTGTTTCCCACAATGGTTGCAACAGTCTGCATTCCCACCAGCAGTGAAGGAGGGTTCCTTCTCCCCATCCTCCCCAGCACTTGTTGTTTGTTGATTTGTTGATGATAGCCATTCTGACAGGTGTGAGTTGGTACCTCATTGTTGTTTTGATTTGCATCTCTCAGATGACTGGTGACTTTGAGCATGTTTTCATGTGTCTCTTGGCTTTCTGAATGCCCTCTTTTGAAAAGTGTCTACTTAGGTCCTTTGCCCATTTTTTTGATTGGATTGTTTATCTTCCTTTTGTTAAATAGTATGAGTTCCCTGTAAATGTTGGAGATTAAACCCTTATTGGAGATAACATTGGCAAATATGTTCTCCCAAACAGTGGGCTTTCTTGTTGTTTTGCTGATGGTTTCTTTTGCTGTGCAGAAGCTTTTTATTTTGATGTAGTCCCATTTGTTTATTTTTTACTTAGTCTCTCTTGCCCTAGGATCTGTGTCTGTAAAGATATTGCTATGACATATGTCTGCAATTTTGCTGCCTACGGAGTCTTATAGGGTTTTTATGGTTTCCCATCTTACATTCAAGCCCTTTATCCATTTTGAGTTTATTTTTGTGTATGGTGTAAGTTGGTGATCTAGTTTCATTTTTTTGGATGTATCTGACCAAATTTCCCATCACCATTTATTAAAGAGGCTGTGTTGGCTCCATTGTATGCTCTTGCCTCCTTTGTCAAATATTAATTGAGTATAATGGCTTGAGTCAATTTCTGGGTCCTCTATTCTGTTCCATTGGTCTATATGTCTGTTCTTGTGCCAGTTCCAGGCAGTTTTGAGAACCGTTGCTTGTTAATATAGTTTGACTTCTGGTATTGTGATCCCTCCAACTTTGTTCTTCTTTCTCAGGACAGCTGTGGCTATTCGGGGTCTTTCTTTTTTATTCCAGATGAATTTTTGGAGTGTTTGTTCTAGGTCTGTGAAATGTGCTATTCGTATTTTAATAGGTATTGCACTGAATCTATAGATTGCTTTAGGTTGTATGGACATTTTAATGATGTTGATTCTACCAATCCATGAACATGGGATGTTCTTCTGTTTGTTTATGTCATCCTCTATCTCTTTTTTCAATCAATGTCCTATAGTTTTCTGAGTACAGGTCTTTTACATCCTTGGTTAAGTTTACTCCTAGGTATTTTAATTTTTTTTTTTTTTTGGTGCAATGGTAAATGGGATTTTTTTTTTCATTTCTCTTTCTGTGAGTTCATTATTGGTGTATAAAAAGGCCATAGATTTCTGGGTGTTAATTTTGTATCCTGCTACATTGCCAAAATCATTTATTAGGTCTAGTAGTTTTTTGATGGAGTCTTTGGGGTTTTCTATGTATAGTATCATGTCATCTGCAAACAAGGACAGTTTTACTTCTTTTCCAATTTGGGTGTCTTTTATTTCTTCTTCTTGTCTGATCACTATGGCTAGTACTTCTAGTACTATGCCAAACAGGAGTGGTGAAAGTGGACATCCTTGTCTTGTTCTTGTTCTTAGTGGAAATGGGTTTAGTTTTTGCCCATTGAGTATAATGTTGGCTGTGGGTTTGTCATATAGGTTATGTTGAGGTATGATCCTTCTATTCCCACTTTGCTGAGAGTTTTTATCAAAAAAGAGTTTTGTCAAATGCTTTTTCTGTATCAATTGATATGATTATATGATTTTTGTCTCTCAGTTTGTTTATGTGATGTTTACATTTATTTATTTGTGGGTATTGTACCATCCTTGCATCCCCAGAATAAATCCCACTTGGTCATGGTGTATGATCTTTCTAATGTATTGCTGAACCCGATTTGCTAGAATTTTGTTGAGGATTTTAGCATTTATGTTCATCAAGGATATTGGCCTGTAGTTCTCTTTTTTTGTGTGGTGTCTATCTGGTTTTGGAATTAGGGTAATGCTGGCTTAATAGAAAGAGCTTGGAAGTGTGCCTTCCTCTTGAATTTTTTTGGAATAGTCTGAGGAGGATAGGTTTTAGTTCTTCTTTGAATGCTTGGTAAAACTCCCCTGTAAAGCTGTCCGGACCAAGGCTATTTTTTTTTTCTGGAAGATTTTTGATCGCTGTTTCAACTTCTTTGGTAGTTATCAGCCTATTCAGGTTTTTTTATTCTTCTTGGTTGAGTTTTGGAAACTTGTATTTTTCTAGGAATATGTCCATTTCTTCTAGGTTGTCCTTTTTGTTAGAATAGAGTTGTTCATAGTATTTTTTTCAAAATCGTTTTATTTCTGTGGGATCGGTTATTTCACCTCTTTCATTTCTAATTTTGTGTATTTGGGTCCTCTCTCTTTGCTTCTTGGTGAGTCTGGCTAGAGGTTCATCAATCTTGTTTATCCTTTCAAAGAACCAGCTCTTGGTTTTGTTGATCTTTTGTATTGTTTTTTTTTTTTTTTTTTGGAATTCAACTCATTTATTTAAATGTATATTGTACATAAGTTAGAAATCCTCACTTCCGCCTCAGCTAGAACTTTTCCGGAAAAGCCTCCATTTCTTCCTTGATCCTGTTTTCTACAAGTAACGCGAAGTTATTGTCTGTATTTTGTAGGTTATAGCTGACAAACACCTGCTTGTTGGTCTTCCTGGCTAAGCGCTGGGCAAGGCCAGTGGAGGTCGTGTCCGAAGTGTCTCCAAGGAGGGAGGTGGACACAGGGATGGAGTCGAAGCAGCTGCACATGGCCACGGCCAGGTTGCGCAGGTGCGGCGTGGCCCCCACCCAAAGGAAGAGCGAGTCCGTCAGCCGCATGACGTGGAAGTGCACCAGCTGCTCCCACAGCCTCGCGCTGAAGTTGTGCAGGGAGACGTCCCCGCCCGTGGCAGCCCACGGCCCCTCCATGCCACCGACCGCCCGGCCTGCCAGCCCCTTTTGTATTGTTTTTTTTTTCTTTTTTTCTTTTTTTGGTCTCTATGTCATTTATCTCTGCTCTGATCTTTATTATTTCCTTCCTTCTGCTTACACTGGGCTCTTCTTGTTGCTCTCTTTCTAACTCTTTGAGTTGTAGGGTTAGGTAATTTATTATCATTGTTTCTTGTTTTTTGAGGTAGGCTTGTAGAGCTATGAACTTCCCTCTCAAGACTGCTTTCACTGTGTCCCATAGATTTTGGATTGTTTTGTTTTCATTGTCATTTGTTGCCATGATGCTTTTTATTTCTTTAATCTCTCTGGTAACCCAGTCATTGTTTAATAGCATGCTATTTAGCCTCCACCTGTTTGATTTTTTAAAATGTTTTTATTGTAGTTGATTTCTAATTTAATGCCATTGTGATCTGAGAAGATGCTTGATATGATTTCTATCTTCTTGAATTTGAAGAGACTTTGCCTGTGACCCAATATATGGTCTATCTTTAAAAATGACCCATGTGCACTTGAGAAGAATGTGTATTCTGTGGCTTTGGGGTGGAATATTCTGAAGATGTCAATTAATTCCATCTGATCTAGTGAGTTATTTAGGATTGATGTTTCTTTGCTGATTTTTTGTTTATAGGATTTGTCCAATGGTGATAGTGGGGTATTAAAGTCCCCTACTATGATTTAAGATCTGTATTGCTGTCAATCTCTCCCTTGATATCCTCCAGAAGTTTTTTTATGTATTTGGTTGCTCCTGTATTGGGTGTGTATATGTTTACCAGAGTTATTTCTTCTTGTTAGATTGCTTCCTTTAGTATTATGAAGTGGCCTTCCTTATCTCTTGATATGTCATTCACTTTGAGATCTAATTTGTCAGATATCAGTATTGCTACCCCAGCTTTTTTTTTCATTTCCATTTGTCTGAATAACCTTTTTCCATTCCCTTCACCATCAGTCTGTGTGAGTCCTTTTTTTTGAGGTGGGTTTCCTGTAGACAGCAGATATATGGGTCATGTTCTCTTATTTACTCAGCTACCCTATGTCTTTTGATTGGGGCATTTAATCCATTTACATTTAAAGTTATTATTGATAGGTACTTGTTTGTCACCATTTTTATTCTTTTTTTTAAGCAGACATGACTGTCCTAAATTATTTATTAGGTAAGAATTTTACAAACATTACTTATATTAGCAGTAACGGTGGAGCTGGAGAGTATTGTGCCTTCTCCAAGCTGCACTGTGAGAACCACCAATAGTGTGGTGGAACTTGTGGCTCTTCCCAAGGCCACGGCTCTTGCGACCTGCAGATGTCAGCCCTCGCATCACCCTGTGCTTGTGGACTGGTTTGGTGATCCACTGGGTGTCAGGATTTCTTCTGATAGCTTTATGGAATAGATCAATGAGAATAACCTCAAAGAATTTGTACGTGGAACCTTCACCAACCCAGTAAGAATTCAGGACTCTCAGAGCCTCACAGTGGCGTCCAGCTCTCTCCTTGGCAACAGACTGAAGACTTCAAGCAAACTTCAGCTGGTTAACATCATGATGGACAGGCTTGCCGTAGGTCGCACCCTTAGGAACAGGGCGCTTGCGGCCACCACGGGGCACACGAATACGATATATGACATAACCTTGCTTGGCCTTGTAGCCCAGCCTGTGCGCTTTGTCTGGCTGGGTGGGGCAGGGGGCCCTGTGAAGTGCAGAGAGCTGGCAGTACAGCCAGCAGCGCACCAGGAGAAGTAAGCACATTACATCAGACTGCTTCTTCCTCCATAACTCCTGGATGTACTTGTAAGCGCCCATCTTGGTTTACCTGATGGCTGCGGCCAGATGGAAAGGAAGAGCCTCTCTCTCCCATTTTTATTCTTTATGTCTGTATTTCTTCTTTTTATAGCAGGTCTTTTAGCAATTTTTGCATTGCTGGTTTGGTGGTAATAAACTCCCTTACTCCTTTTTTTTCTGTGAAGCTCCTGATTTCACCCTTAATTTTGATTGATAGCCTTGCTGGGTACAGTATTCTTAGATTCAGACCCTTGCTTTGCATGACTTTGTATATTTCATTCCATTTCCTTCTGGCCTGATGTGTTTCTGTTGAGAAATCAGTCGCTAGTCTGATGGGGGATCCTTTATAAAGTTTGTCCCAAAATTCACGCAAGAAGTAATTTTGATAGAAAACACAGGTTTATAATTAAAAATTGTAAATTTTTTATTGATTCATAAAGTATATAGTATAGGGTTATGTATTGAATAGCATATCAGGTAAATGGCCTCCACAGCTTTGCTGACATATACGCACTCTTTTGTTGAAATTTTCCATGACCGTTTTGCATAAATGTGGCTGAATTTCGTTGATACAGCACTCAATTTCCTCCTTCAAGGTGTGGGTGGTTGTGGCCTTGTTGGCATATACCTTAGACTTCAAAAAACCCCAAAGAAAAAAGTCCAACGGCATTAAATCGCATGATCTGGGCGGCCAATTCTGATCACCAAAACGGAAATTACACGACCAGGAAATGACTCATGCAGTAATGATTGTTTCTCGGCTGTATGGCATGTGCACCATCTTGTTGAAACCACATGTCGTCACATCCATATCTTGCAATTTAGGCACAAAAAACTGGATTATCATGTCACGATAGTGAGCACCATTAACTGTTATTGCCTGAGCAGCCGCATTTTTAAAGAAAAATGGTCCGATGATGCCTCCAGCCAAAATCCGAACCAAACAGTGACATGTTGTGGATGCATTTGTTTCTCAACAATCACTTGTGGATTTTCTGAACCCCAAATGCGACAATTTTGTCGATTAACCAAGCCATCAAGATGAAAATGAGCCTCAGCGCTGAAGATGATTTTGTTCAAAAAATCAGCATCCACTTGTTGTTGTTCCATAATCCATTCAACAAACTATTCGCTGTGCGTGGTCAGTAGGTTTCAGTTCTTGAGTCAATTGAACTTTGTAAGCATGAAAATGCAAATCTTTCGTGAGAATACGCTGTAGAGAGCTTCTCAAAATGTCCAATTCTTGACCACAGTGCCAAATTGATGTCCCTGGACTCTCAGCAACACTCTCATGAACTGCTTCGATGTTTTGTGTTGAACAACTTGTTGAAGGACGGCCAGAGTGTTTAAGATCACTAATTGATCCAGTCTCCCTAAATTTTTTAATTCTCTTCACAGTTGATGAAGTTAAATCACTATTCCGACCATACTTTGCACAAAAATTGCGAACTGTAGCTTCCAAACCTTCATTATTTTTAAAATATTGCTCAACAATGAAAATGTGTTGTTCTTTCATGTAGCGCTCCATTTTTAATAACCCTGAACTGTCAGCTGTCATGCTATCTTTTTTTTTTTTGTTGGCAACACTTTACGGCACAAATGGCGTAAAATTCAAATCTTGCATGAATTTAGGTAAATTTCTGTCTCTCTCTGACTGCTTTTAATATTCTTACTTTGTCATTGGTGTTTGCCAATTTAATTATAATGTGCCTTAGTGTTGGTCTTTTGAGGTTCATTTTGATTGGGACTCTGTAAGATTCTTGGATTTGTGTGATTTTTTTCTTCCCTATATCAGGGAAGTTTTCTGTCATTATTTCTTCAAACAGGTTTTATATTCCTTGCTCAGTTTCCTCTCCTTCTGGCACCTCTATTATGCGGATGTTGTTTCGTTTTGTGTTGTCCCAAAGTTCCCTTAGGTTCTCCTCCTGTTTTTTAAGTTTTTTTTTCTAGATGCTGCTCTGCTTGGGTATTTTCTTACCTTGTCTTCTAGCTCACTGATGCAGTCCTCTGCTTCTTTTAGTCTACTGTTGATGCTTTCTATTGAGTTCTTTATAGCAACGATGTCGTTTTTCATTTCTTCCTGGTTCTTTTTTATTTCCTCTTGGTTCTTACACATATTTTTGAATTTATCTTCCATTCTTTTCAGGGACCTTATGACCATTTGTCTGAATTCTTTCTCTGACATATTGCTTGCCTCCATTTCATTTACTTCCTTTTCTGGTGATGCCTCCTTTTCTTTCATATGTGGGCTATTTCTTTGACTCCCCATGATCTCTCTTCGCCGGGTATCTGGTTATGTAGCACTCTCTCTACTGCGTTGATTTAACGGCACAAAATACAACACAACAAGGCATAATGTACAAGGCACTGAACCCAAATTTATTCACAATACAGTGGGGCCTTGACTTACGAGTGTCCCGACTAACGAGTTTTTCGAGATACAAGCCTTCTCTCGGCCAATTTTTTGCTTTGAGTTGAGAGCTAAAATTTGGGTTACGAGCCAGCTTCAGATACCCCACCGCTAGTTGGCACAGCAAACGTCACAGTGAATACCACAACATCAGCCCAGCATCACGCGTCTCACTCATTCACTGTTGATTTGACATACGAGTAATTTGAGTTACGAGCTCCATCACGGAAAAAATTAAACTCATAAGTCAAGGCCCCACTGTACTAATAATCCCAAATAAAGGTGACCATCAGAGAAAAGAGAATTAGAGCATAAGAAAAAAAAAGGAGTGCACAAATGATATTGAGAAAAGGAAAAAAAAGTAAGAGAGAAGAGAAAGAGAATAAAAAAGAAGGGGGAAAATCTATTTATATGGGGAGAAAACTCCAATAGAACAACCACTAATCCCCCAAAATGCAAGCAAAAAAACCCAGAGGTGAATGCAAACTACAAACAACAACTAATAGCAAGCGAAGAGAGGAAAAACAAAAGCCAAAAACAAACAAAAACAAGAAAAGGGAAACAATCTCACAAACAAGCAAAAAACACACACAATCTATTCAACAATCAAGCAAACAACAACAATGGGACAGAGAGAAAGCAAGGCAAAACAAAAAACAAACAAACATAAAAACCTAGAACAAAACAAAACAAAACAAAAAAACAATAACAACAACAAAAACAAACAAAAAAAGGGAAGAGAGAAAAAATTTGGATAGTGACGAAAGAGAAGAGAGAGGTATGTATGGACTTAGAGCAGGGGA